ATTTAGACGCACGAAGAATATGAAACATTAACAAATGAAAGCTCAGACTAGTGGTTCCACATTATACACTCATCATCTAACGACATGAAACACTACAGAATCACGCGAAGACATAGACCAAGAAAAAACACAAAAAACTTATTTAGGTTTCAGATTTCAGGTTCCACTTACCTAGAACCTGAAACCTATCCGTTGAAACAGGTTCTCCAATTTTTGGAACTCGGAACCTACCCTACATACCTTGAAACTTGAAACCTACAGGTTCCCACCAGTCAGGTTCTTAGGTTCCAGGTTCTACCCTGGAACCATGCTCAATTCTAGTGGAGAGGCCGATGGGAGGAAGAAGAAGGAAAAAGAAAAAAAAAGAGAAACAAGAGAAAAAATAATTTTAAAAATACAGTTTTTTTTTATTTTTTCCTCACCAAACAACTGAAAATACTTTCCAAGTCTTTTTTAGGTTTTAGCCAAATACTGAAAAATGAACTCATTTTCTTGGAAAATGACTTTCCGGAAAGTATTTTCCAAAAATGGTACATTTTCCGCGAAGGTGCGTTTGTTTCGTGAAAAACGAATGATTTGAAAAATAATTTCCGAAAAATGATTACTTATATCATTTAGAAAAAATTAATCAATGAAAAATATTTTCATCATTGATAACAATCTATGCCCGTGAGCGATAAAAAAAAATTTCATTCATTTATTTTTCTAAATGATATAAGAGATCATTTTTCGGAAAATATTTTTCAAATCACTCATTTTTCGCAAATGAATGCACCCTATATGAAGGGGGTCCAATCGGTTAAATAACGAAAGCAACATACTAAACACGCTGTAAAACTAAAAGTCTCTGCCTGATGGCTTGATGGCCACGACGAGAGCCTACTTCGCATGTGCCTCTTGGAGGCTCCCTTCATAGTTCCAGGCACGTCATGGTAGCCATCGATTGTCACCACCTCCGTTTGATCGGGTGGATAAAGAAGATAACAAATTAATCTCTTTGATTATTCCAAACAATTGCTCAATTGAACTTACACGTGTTTTCAAGCTTTTGGCTTTGCAAGTACACACCTTGGTCGTCTCACAGGTACCTTCCAATATGATGTTAGGGTAGTCCTGTTCCTTGACGATTCCACCAGTGGAGACGAAGAACGAGCATGCATAGTCCATGAGACCCTTCTTCTTGAGTTTGACATCCTGGTTAATGGAGATCTATTTACTAGGTAGCTTATAGTAGTAAACGCATCCATCATGAATTTTCTAGCCATACTAGCGCTATAGAGTATTTTATGTGTTGTCTCTAAAAATGTTTAGCCGATCAATTCTACGATCGGTTGTAGTTCATCGACACCAATGCGATGTTCGAGCAGAACTCCATTCTATTGTCAGTTCACACATGCTTTATTATCTTACCAATCTCAGTTTAATATTAACCTTGTGCCTCAGCACAAATACCCAAATACTCCTTAGGTAGTTTTTAACAACTATTAGCATAGATTTGACTTTCTTTTTCGAAGGAAATTGCGATAGCCTACTAACATCTAAGTGAATCAACTCTGTAATCTCTGTGGTTTCTCTGATAGTCGTATTAAACTACACTTTCTATTGTTTGCTTTGGTCATAGCACCTGCATACATTTAGTCGGTTAATAGCATAACCACACACCAGATTCTTTTCACTCAGAACCTTCAAGCTTCTCTTACTAATGTCCCCTAAATGCACAGACTCTCGAACAAATGTATCCAGCGTCTCTGCGGCAAAAGCCATCACTTATCTCACCTTAAAGCTAATATAGGCCACTGTGCTTTATTCTTTTGAGTATCACCCAGACATCTCGAAGGACCTTCGGTACTCTACCTTCTAGGGCACTCAAATCAGGTTCTTCTTTCTGAAAAAAAAAAATCAAGTTCTTTAATTTTTGGAACGTGCCTCACTTCAATCAATGTTCACACCGACATCATCATGCATTCTGATTCTGACATCTCGAACACCCACAGCATTGCAATCAGCATTGTTCCCCAATTGCACTTTGCCATTGTCAGTGTACCGACGAGTAGTAAACCAGTTTCTGTTTGATTTAGCGTGAAACAAATAAACATAATCCATCTAAAATCCATCTGTCAAACAACGAAGTTTTAGAGATAGACAAAACATAATCAACACTATGTAAGACATAGTAAATAATTGTAGCAATATCATCAGTCCGCTCAACTCTAATTTTCTTATCCTTCTTGTTCTTCAGCTTAAGGTAATAACTTTCAAAATCTCATCTATAGCCAAAATTCCAACAAACAGCACCACTAGTCCACTAACTACGTTTGTTCATATTCGTACTACTATTGTTAAACCAGCAGTTAGAGCTTTACCGAATTCTTTTCTATGGATATCCTCACTAAGAATCCAAATACAAACCTCATCAAATGTCAAGTTTCTTAACTCAGAGGAATTACTAACAACGGTAGTAGTACTATTCTAACTATTCGGCAATGATGACAATAGAATCAAAGGATTAACCTCATCATTAAAGTCAAAATGTGTGGACACATACGTGAAATAAACTGAGAGAGACCAAAAATTTAGCTAATAAGTGATGTGTGACCATATGTATATAAAGAACATATAAATCCTACAGCGTAAAAGGTTTTCTGGATGAGGGTATTTCTTTTGGTGTTTTTCTTTTTAGAAAATCTTTTAGTTTTTATTGTACGGAGAATCAAATCGAATGGATATCAATGAACACATCATGTTTGGACAACAACATAAACTTTCCTTTTAAAATTATGCAAATGTAAGGAAGAAATATTTCTCTAAGCTAACATTTTCATTTGATGTGTCTTGTGCAAGACATTACCCATTACATTGATGAACACCTCTCTATCGGTTTGGAAAGGAATATAAACAATTTAATTAAGTTAGACAATGTCCATTGGATCCTCCGACTTAAGACCCCGTGGATTTATCCCATGAAAAAGTAGGACCAGATTATGATATTTGTTTAGTGACACAATGGAAACAAATTCAACATGAATTCATAATAAAATCGATTTCACACACGAGTAAAAGAGAATTGCCAACATGTTGACAAACTATACAAGAACAAAAAAAACAATTTCTTAATCATTGATGTTTGTTTGTAAAACAAACAAATAAGGCTCTTTCCTTATCCCACATGGGAAAGAAATGAAAGTTTTGATCTATTTATAAGTTAAAGTATTATCATTTATTGTAAATGGAGAAAATGGGTGAATGTGTTAGACCCCACAATACCGGGGTGCGCGATTTTAACGCGCACTTAGCACGCATGCACGCCGTGGACCAAAATAAGCCTTCATCGACAATCTATTTTTATTTATTTAATTTTTTTTAACTTATGACTGTTTAGACAAAACTGTCTATTTTAGGACACGAAAAGGTATATCCAAAATTGACAGTTTTCATGCTCGAAGAGTTGTGTCCGAATGGTAGTTTTCAGACACGAAGGGTTATGTCCGAATTGCAATTTTTTTAGCATGAATAGGTGTGTCCGTATTGGCAGTTAGACACCAAGAGGTGTGTTCTATTTGCTTGTATATATTGGACAATTCTGTTCAATTAATAGTATGAACAGAACTCCCTTCCTTTTCGTCTTTCTTAAGAGAAAAACGAAACATCAATTTTCTCAATTGTCTTTGCTGATCAGAATGCTTTAAAAGGTCAACAACTTAGGTATATGACGACTATATCACGTCCAGCATTACCAACTAGACTGATCCAATATACACACGAGAAGAGAGATGCCCGATAAATTAGTTTAAAGAAAACGAGAAGCGCGTCCGTGAAATAATAGCGTCTCTCATTGAAATTAATTAAACATAAACTCACGCTCTTGATTCCTTGATTGAATAGTTTATTTCCTTATTTTTTCAATAATTTTACAATTATGTCAGAATATGAAACAATTCGTTTCAATTTTTGGAAGTTACCTACTTAGATATTTGAGACTCAGTATGATAGTTTCTTGTCCTCGTTAGTTTATCTATTTCCTAATTTAAACTTGGATTTTAGATTTTTTTCTCTGTTATTGCGCAAGTTTGCGTGCTTGCGATTTGCCACTCCGGCTGCGGATTGATCCATCTGTTTTGATCTATCTTTCTATCAGGTCAATTGGTATAAGAGACGGTAAGATTGCTCGAGAGCGTAGCCAGTCTGGGGTTGACAATAATGGTGCAATCCCACTTGATAAATATCGGGGGCGTTGGTCGTCTTGAGGCGTTTAAATGAGCCACGGAGCAGAATTGGCAACGAACTACATGTGCTTAAGGAGCCACTCGGCCGGGGGAAACTCGAAAAGGGTTGATGAACCGGCGCCGGGGCTTAATAACACTCGCGGCCAACTGTTCGAATGATCAGCTTCGGTGGTTTGGAACATATGTTGTCCGGCCTACCTAGAGGAATCTTATTCGAACAGGGACAGGAAGGCTACGGAGACGACTTTGGAAATCAGTAGGAAGGTTGCGGCTTCAGCTATACGAAAAGGAGGATCGATGATCCATTTCCTATACCAACAAGCAGGTGCAAACATTTTTAAGAACGTTAAAAACAAGCCGAGTATAGCTCTTCTTTAAACACTTTGTAAGAGCCTTGTGTGATTGGAGAAGATAATGAAGTTGACCTTGCTAGCTCCTACTCATAACAAATTAAATAATGCTCCAAACGACAAATAGTTATATAGTACGTCCCGAAGTCATAGTCCAATCAGATGACACGATTTCGATCTCGCCAGATCAGAAGCAAAGGAACTGCCAACTTATGCCATTGGCTTCGACTTCGTCCAAAACAACATCGTCAAAGGAAACCACCTTGTTGCTTCCCAGGCATACGCTACGAACAATGACTTCCATCAGTCTGTATTATCTCCGCCATCATCTTTATAACACGACCATAGCTATGACGCAATAAAAGCATTGGATTGCTGCGTTCGAAGGTTGTTTTCTCGAAGAAGAAGAACTTAGTGACGAGCGACCATGCCGCTGAAAGTTCTGTCCGTGCTCGACACCGCCAGGACACGGTACTACCACATCAAGGCCGTCATTGTGGCAGGTAAATTGACATGTGCTTTTCACATCTCAATCACAATAATTAGTACACACGACATGGGTTGCATTATTTCATGAATTCTTTTTATATTCGATTATCTTGTTTCCGAAAAATGCATCATTCTATTTCACTCGATATGATTCCGAATTCGTGTGTCTTGAGCTTGATAAAGGAATGGGGATATTCACCGATGCCTACGACCTCTTTTGTATTCCGCCCATCACGAAACTGCTCGGGCACATATACTACAAAAAACAGGGCAACAGAATCCGGCCTGGCGCGGAAGCAGCCATGCTAGCTGTCGCTCTCCTCGGCACTGTGATCGGTCAAATCGTATTCGGCTGGCTCGGCGATCGTGTTGGGAGGAGGCGTGTGTATGGCCTCACCTTGATGCTCATGTTGGCTGGCTCTATCGGGTGCGGATTCTCCATGGGCACGACACAAGGCCGTGTCCTAGCCAGTCTAGGGTTTTTCAGGTGATTGTAGTGCTAGAATCCTATTCAATTTTTCTGAGTACTCATAACGCACGAGCATCACTCTTTAATTCTTTTCAGGTTCTTGCTAGGGGTAGGGATCGGAGGAGATTACCCGCTCTCGGCGACGATCATGTCAGAGTTTGCGAACAAGAGGACGCGCGGCGCATTCATAGCGGCTGTCTTCTCAATGCAAGGGATTGGGATTCTGGCGAGCTCGATTGTCACCATGGCGGTGTGCAAGATTTTCGGCCGAATTTACCATCCTTCGCAGCAAGATCCCAGGACAGATGAAGCTGATATGGCCTGGAGGTTGATATTGATGCTGGGTGCTGTTCCTACCGCATTAACATATTATTGGCGGATGATGATGCCTGAAACTGCAAGGTATATACATACCTTTCTTTGCTTAATTGATTATTTAAATTGATTAATTAATCGGTCGTCTTATTTTTTTGACAGAGAGTTGTTTAGTCTATGGTATTTTACGGTTATGATCAAGCATGCATCTCTTTGGTTGCTGGAGTTGTGTTAGTCTTCCTAGAGACATTGCCCAGAAAAAGTACAAAAAAAGAAAAAGTCCTAAACCTATTGTATTGGTATCAATTCAGTACTAAACTTTCTAATTTGACAAATTTAATCCTAAACCTTTTGACAATTTGCCAATATAGTCCATCCAGTCAATTTTGGCCGGAAATTGTTAACGTGGATAATATTTTTAAATATGCAATATTTTTTTTGATTCTTTTCTTTTATTTTCTTTGTTATTTTACATATCTGGCCATCGAGGGTCAACCTTGTCGGCCAGAGTTGTAAAAACAACAAAGAAAAGAAATAAAAAAGGAAAAAAAACAAAAAAAGTAATAAAAAATTCAGAAAAATTTTAAAAAATTTAAAACGTCAGCGCTGACTATGCCACGTAGGATGGCCGGCATCCATTTCAGCGATTTTGAGCCAAAATTGGCTGGATGGACTACATTGGTAAATCGTCAAAAGATTTAGCACTAAATTAGTCCAATTAAAATATTTAGGACTGAAGTGCTATCAATGCAATTGATTTAAAACTTTTTCGGTACTTTTCCTGACATTTTCCCCCTAAATTCTTAGGATCAAATTGGTGGGTGCTGCTGAATAGGTTAGCTTACTCGGCCAATGACCGGAAAGACAAAACTAGAGTTTGGCCAGTCGTGCCCAACAATTTGTGTCAACTGTCGAGTTTGTGTTATTTCAAACCTTCACATTTTCGTAGAACATGTTAGAAATAGTGATATATTTAAATTCGTTTTGTTATTGAAAAATTTGCTTGCATCAGCTTCCATATGTCAAAATTGTGCCCCAATTGATTGGTGCCTTTGGAAAATGCTTGCACAAAATGGATTTCGTGAATCATGAAAATCATCATAATTTGTAGTCCTCTACGAGATAGACAGAGCCAATCATTACAATACATTTTTATGGTATAATTAGGTACACCGCTTTGGTGGAGCTAAATGTGCTCAAAGCTGCCCAGGACATGGAGCGAGTCCTAGACGTGTCCTTGAGCCAGATTGTCGAGGACCATCCCTTCCCTCCGAGCCCGCCATCCTACCCTCTCTTCTCCAAGCAGTTCTTCCTCCTTCACGGCCGCGACCTCCTTGCCTGCTCTGCCGCGTGGTTCCTCCTCGACATCGTCTTTTACAGCAACAACCTCTGCCAATCCCACATCTTTGGAAAACATCATAACGCCAGCGAAACGAACACCGCCTTTGAGGCCGCTTTCAAGGTCGCAAAGCTACAGGCCAAAGTGGCTTGCTACTCCACAATCCCCGGCTACTTTGCCGCCATCTTCCTCATTGACCGTCTTGGGCGAGTCAGGATCCAAGTGGTTGGGTTCGTCCTCATGGCCATCCTTTACTTCTCCAGCGCATGCATATATTGGGATCACCAAACGGGCAAGCTTTTCACGATCCTGTACGGCCTGACCTTCTTCTTCGCCAATTGTGGGCCCAACACGACAACATTCATTGTGCCGGCCGAGCTGTTCCCCGCGCGATTCCGGTCGACGTGCCACGGGATTGCCGGCGCCTGGGGGAAGGTCGGGGCAATGATCGGTGCCGTGGGGTTCTTCGTGGTCTCGAAGGATGTCGACCAAGATGGGTATAAGATGACGATGAGAGTTATGCTGATCATATTGGGTGGCATTTGCGTGGTGGGGATGGCGGTGACCATGCTGTTCACGAGGGAGACTATGGGGACATCGCTTGAGGAGAATGAGAATGAGAATGGAGATCAGTCTGTTCAAGGCAAGTGCTTTCCGTAGTTCAGGATTGCGAGACACGATCATGTTGAGTGATTTTGCATAGCCTTATTGTTGACGCAAGGCCGAAAACCAGAGTCCATACATATAAAAATGTTAATGGCTCAATAAATCATGACAAATACAACGTCCATAAAACTCATCAATGGAATGCTAAACAACCTCATCAATCATGAAGGCCATAACAGTACAATCCATAGAATCCATCGATGAAATGACTAAATACCAATCTCAAATACCATAACAGTACATCCCTAAAGCTGATTGATGAAATGCCTAAGTACGCTCATCAATTATGAAGGCCATAACAATACAATTCACAAATACGAACGATGGAATGTTTGATGAACTCACCTATCACGAGTTTTCAACAAAAAAGCGTTTAAGGGAAGTACATGACATGTGGCCATGATTGTGCACATGGGTTAAAGTTTGAGTAAGGGAGAATTGACTGACCGAGGGATAACAGTAACTAAGAAATCAGGAGCCGTTAAAATACATCCTAAAGAAACGCTAAAGTCAAGGTTGTTTAGAGTTTTTCGGGGAAGAAGATCATGATGCATAATGAAATGGCTCGATAAAGATACAGAAGGAATTAAAGTAAATATTACTCCGGATATCCCTTAGGACGTTCAGCTCAGACAAGAAATTACAACCAAGAAACACACAACATGAGTTGAGGCATCATAAATTACGAAAAACCCATCAGAGTTTGAAGTGGAGAAGATTATACGTAACATATCGATTTTGGGATTAAATTCTATCTAAGTTGGAATTTCAAATTTTAAATTAGATCAGGTTTCTTGTTTCCAATGTTTGTCTTTGACAATGAAAGTTTTCCAGTTCCTGTCTTGTAAACTTTGTACTTTCTCTACGCACTTCATTGATATCCATTAAGAAGTTTATGTCCAATTTCAATCATCGACTAAGAATGATCTCTAAGAATATAAGCCGCTTGTTTAGATTCAATGAAATCCTTTGCAATTTCCTTAGTTGTTTTCAATTGGTTGTTTGCATGTTATTTTAGTAATTCACACTTTACAAAGTCCTTGAGGTTTTAAGGCATATTAGAATCCATTCACTTCTAATTCGAAGTCCAATTTAATGCAGTAATCGGCGATCGATCACCCTCGATTGGACATAATTATTGAAACTATTGAGTTACTAGTGACTACAACTTGAAAAAAAGTTTGTAACACCAATTTATAGTTAATCGAATTGGACCAAGTTTAAGTAAGCATTCGACAAGCTAAAAAAACAACTGGATTGTCATAAAGTAATGAAATGACACAAGAAGTGGGAGAAATATAATTTCTCATTAACGAAAATAAGTTCTCAGTTGAGATTAAAAAGAATTTGAAACAGTCATTTGGGCCCTCGTACTTGATAAGTAAACTCAATAAAAAGAAGGTCATTGTTCTTGTCATATACTCAATTAATATATTAAAATCAATTATTTTCTCATTGAATATGTTCGACAAGTTTCTGGAGGACTCTCAATAAGGCCTTTTGTTGTTTCTTTTTTCACTTGGTTCTGATATGATATGAAGCCATCTTATTGATGCCACGTGGATCCCCAGCCTTTCATGTATTCCTCTTCATCCCGATATGTCCCTCTTCCCCCCACTTCGGGCTGCACGAGTTTTCCGTATTGAAGAAACAGCTCAAAGAATTTTGATGATCCCAATACTATTTTTAGTATAATATTTATTATAATATTTACAGATCATGAATCTGTTCCGTTCGTAAACATCATTGACAGACTTAAAGATCAGCTGATGACAATGTGTGTGTCAATGCTAGAGATATTATGTCATTGGTGATGTTCGAGCAACGACCATTCAATTGATTGTTGTAAAAGTTATATATAGCCATTGTTGCCTGGAGATGCGCACCAGAAGAAATGGAAGACATTAGAGTAGCAAAAAGAGACTTTTTGACATAATTGTCAGAGCGATCAGAGATGGGACAATAACAAAAGTTATTTCGAGATAACCTACAAATGTTCAGGATAAATGACTGTATGGGGAGCTTTATCTCTGGACAACAACACCAACGGATCTCTAACGGCTCTTTACCACTCTGAGACATCTTCAACGGGAAAATTGAAGACGCTTCTATAAAAAAGATCTCGAAGGCCATATGTTAGATGCACAATACAAAAAATCCAGAATTCTATTTGAAACTGTGTTCATAGCTTATATCGTTTCATTCTCTTAAGATCTTCACTGTAGCGTTCTTGCTGGTTTATAATTGTGTGAAAAATTAAGTGTACACAAGTGATAGCAACACCTGATTCCTAATAGTGTGATCTATCATTTGATATGATTGGTAATTTTTGGTTGTAATTTGTTTAGCAAATTACCAGTGCAATCCAGCCCGACTTGTAGCTGTTAGTGTGGACAATGAATGTAAGCTTAGAGATAAAACCAAACCACTATATATTATTTTGTGCTTTTGTTTTTGTCACTCTTACTTATATTTATTCATATCTTCTAAAATATCCGTTTGACCTTATCTTTGCGTGATAACTGCCAATTTTCGCAAATTTGTCAAAGTTTATTAAAAGAACCTATTCAACCCCCTCTAGGTTGTATTGTTAGCCTTAACAATTGGTATGAGAGCTTCGTTGTTAGTTATTTGAAGTGTATTTATTCTGAGCATAAAGATCTTCTCTTATGGCTAATTTTGGTGGTATCTTTATAAATGATGCACAAGCTCTAGACAAGGCGTCTTACTTCGATGGAAACAACTATGGCTACTGGAAGCAAATGATGCAGTCCTACATTGAGGCAATAAATCTTGCCATGTGGGAGGTAATCCAAAACGGTCTAGCCATACTTGTTCAAGCTCCTCAAGCTTCTACTCAACAAGAAAGATAAGAAGCTCAAGCTGAAGATGATGTAGCTCGTGTTACTACTGCTGCTCTTGCAGAAGAAGCACAAAGAAGAGCTGCTCATAATGCTAAAGCTAAACATCTCCTGTATTGTGCTTTGTCTCCATCTGAATTTAACAAAATTTCCTCGTGTTATAGCCAAGGAAATTTGGGATTGACTCCCAGTGACATTTGAAGGAACTGATAGAGTGAGGGAGACAAAGATGAACATTCTTCTTGAAAATTATGAGCTCTTCAAAATGAAATCTGACGAGATAGTGACACAAATGTTCATGAGATTCACCGAGATGGTGAACGGTCTGGCAAACCAAGGAAAGATCTTCACCGATGGAGAAAAGGTGAACAAGCTATTGAGAACATTTCCAAAGGAATGGAGTAGCGTGAAAACCTCAGTACGAGAAATAATGAGAATCCAACCCATCTCAATAGACCAGTTGATAGGCACTCTGATGTTCTACGAAGCATAACACTTGAACAAGGAAAGCAATTCAAAAGGTAAGGATGCTATAACATTTAAACCTAACCTTGATGATGCAAGTGAACAAACATCATCAGAAGGTGAAGATGTGATGATGATATGACACTATTGACTAGAAAATTAAAAAAAGCTTCATGAGAAAAGGATGAAACTTCAAAGGCAAAAAGCAAATGAAATTCTCAGAGGATAGAAAGCCATTCAAAAGCAAAGAAGAGGTCAGAGGTAAGGATATCGTCTATTATGAATGCAGGAAACCAAGTCACATACAACCAGATTGCCCATCTCTTAAGAAAAAGAAAGGAAAATACGAAAGGAAGAAACGAGCACTAAAGGCTGAAACATGGAGTGACACTGAATGCGAATCCAGCGATGAAGACGAAGCCAATCTCTACCTTTTGGCTGATTCTGACCATGAAGAAGAAAATGAGGTAAACAATTATAAGCTAACTTATGAAGAATTGCAGGAAATTTTTAGGGAAATGTTTGAAGAATACAAAAAGGCTTCGAAAAGAGTTTATGTTTTAGAGATGATCTATTGGGCTGCGCATGACAACTTGCCAAACAGTGTTTGATTCTGTTCTTTTGTTCCCAGAATCAGTTTGGGAACAGAAATGCGTTTGTTTAATTTTTTGATTCCGGGCACAATTTTGTCAAAAATTGTTCCTGAATCGATTTTGAGAGAATCAAGAATAAAAAAAGCGACTTCTTGATTCGGGAACAATTTTGAGAATCAATTTTTTTTTCTTCTTCCTTTTCTTGGTTTTTAATTTAGCTTCTAATGTCCGCCCCGAGGACCGCCCTCGCCGGATCTAACGAAAATAAAATATTTTAATAAAAAATATTATTAATAAAAAATATTTTACCGGCCATGGCCAGCGACCAGGCCATGGCCATAAAAAAGAAAAATATATATTTTTAATAAAAATATTATTAATAAAAAATATTATTAATAAAAAAAATGTTTTACCTGCCATGGCCGGTGACCAGGCCATGGCAAAAAAAGAAAAAATATATATTTTTAATAAAAAATATTATTAATAAAAAAAATATTTTACCGGCCATGGCCAGCGACCAGGCCATAGCTAAAAAAAATAAAAATGTATATTTTTAATAAAAAATTTTAATAAAAAATATTATTAATAAAAAAAATATTTTACCTGCCATGGCCGGTGACCAGGCCATGGCAAAAAAAGAAAAAATATATATTTTTAATAAAAAATATTATTAATAAAAAAATATTTTACCGGCCATGGCCAGCGACCAGGCCATAGCTAAAAAAAAATAAAAATGTATATTTTTAATAAAAAAATATTAATAAAAAAAATATTTTACAGGCCATGGCCGGCGATCAGGCCATGGCAAAAAAAAAGAAAAAAATATATTTTTAATAAAAATATTTTAATAAAAAAATATTTTACCAGCCATGTCCGGTGACCAGGCCATGGCCAAAAAAAATAAAAATATATTTTTTTAATAAAAATATTTTAATAAAAAATATTTTACCGGCCATAGCCGGCGACCAGGCCATGGCCCAAAAAAATAAAAATGTATATTTTTAATAAAAATATTTTAATAAAAAATATTATTAATAAAAAAAATATTTTACCAGCCATGGCCGGCAACCAGGCCATGGCAAAAAAAAATAAAAATATATATTTTTAATCAAAATATTTTAATAAAAAATATTATTAATAAAAAAAATATTTTACCGGTCATGGCCGGCGACCAGGCCATGGCCAAAAAAAGAAAAAATACTTTTAATAAAAATATTATTAATAAAAAAATATTTTTCCGATCATGGCCGGCGAGCATGCTATGGCCAAGAAGGAGGAAAAGAAAAAAAGAAAAGAAAAAAAAGAAAGAAATATTAAAATATTTAAAAATATTATTAATAAAAAGAAATTTTGTGGCGTTACCAAACGCATTTCTGTTCTTTTTCTATTCCAGGGATGGAATTTTGGGCCGTTAACAAACGCCTTAAAATGCTCAGAATCAATTCCGGGCACAGAATCAAAAAGAATCATTTCTGACCAGAATCTGTTCCCGGGCACAGAATGGTTGTCATGCGCAGCCTTGGAGTTCTTCCGGTCGGATGAACCTAAGAGAAATTCCTTCTATGAAGCATAAAATAATCCTTTGGAGTTCTTCCAGTCGGATGTAGCTAAGAGAAGTTCTTTGGCTTGGTCCTTCCAAGTTCTTCTGGTTGGACACAGTTTTGAGGAGTTATTCCATTGGTGCTGCATAGGCCGTCTAGTCGTCCCGACACCATTCATTCAACACTTCATGGTGTCATTGCTACACTCAATATATTCAATCTTTTCAGATAGATTCCTCAGGGAGTGTAAAATCAATGCTTGACGACTAATCACTGTCAAGATCTTAGCAATGTTTAGAGCAATAAATTGTTTCAGAAGTCAATCATAATTCTGTTTCCATGCAATCATGGATTATTTACGACATTTTCTTTTCATTGTCAAGACTTTTGACTCTAGCAAAGTATTTACCACATTCACAACTTTGACATTCAAACGGAAGGGTAAAAATTCTCCCTGCTTTGGGCGCAGGGTTGCCCTTGCTGATCATGTGTGCTCTTTTGTATGTAAGACGAGATCGAACATGCCATTCCAATTTTAAATTGAACTTATTTAGGAACAATATACATCATTTCACGTCGAAGCGAATGATTCAGCCTCATCATGTTCTCTTGGTAAGAAGTGTTGTCACTAGGGTCAAACAAATCCCTTTATCTGCAAAGTAAGAGATGGAACAAGTCATTTCCATTCCCAGTCAAACTAGTTCGGGAACGATAGACCCTTATGTGTCAAATCATATGATTTTGTCTGATCAAGCCATGTTGGCAAGAGTCATTGCCCTCATAATAGGTTGTACCCCATTAGGGAAATTGCTCCATTGGAGATTATAGTCTACTGAGGAATTTCTGGATATAGAGAGAGGTGATTTGTTACCTCTGAATGAGGCAAAAGTACACCACAAGTGCCATAACTTGTGTACGGCGATCACTTTGGTGCCATAACTTTTTTTCGGATCACTTTGGTGCCAAGTCGGAGCAAAAGAGATCACTTTAGTGCCAATTTGGTCGGAAATCCGACGTGGCATTTTTTATTAATTTTTTACGCCGACGTGGCTTGCCGGAGGCTGAGTCAGCGTGTACAGTCAGCATTTTTAATTTTAAATAATTTTTTTCCTTTTTTTTTTCCTCTTCTTTCCTTTTTCTTTTCTTTTCTTTTTTTTCTTTTCTCCCCTCGCCGGCCGGTTGCCGGTGGCCGGCCACCGGCGAAGCCCGGGAAGGGCTGGGCGAGGGCGGCCTTGCCCATGGCCGGCGAGGGGCGGCCGACCCTCGTCGGCGGCGAGGCGAGGCCGGCCCGAGGCGAGGCCGCCCCTCGCCGGCCCGGAGAGGGCTGCCCTCGCCCGACGCCGGCGAGGGTCGCCCTCGCCGGATCTGGCGAGGGCGACCCTCGCCGGCGTCGGCGAAGGAAGCCCTCGCACTGGGCGGGCTAGGGCGACCGTCGCCGGCGTCGGGCGAGGTCGCCCACGCCCGACTCGAGGCGGGCGACCCTCGCCCGCCCGGCCCTGAGTCGGGCGTGGGCGACCCTCGCCCGGCCAGGCGAGGGCAGCCCTCGCCTGGGCTAGCCTCGCCTGTCGCCGGAGAGGTCGGCCGTCCCTCGCTGGCCATGGGCAAGGCCGCCCTCGCCCAGCCCTTCCAGGGCTTCGCCGGTGGCCGGTCAGCCACCGGCGAGCTACGTCGGCGTAAAAAATTAATAAAAAATGCCACATCGGATTTCCGGCCAAATTGGCACTAAAGTGATCTCTTTTGCTCCGACTTGGCACCAAAGTGATCCGAAAAAAAGTTATGGCACCAAAGTGATCGCCGTACACAAGTTATGGCACTTGTAGTGTACTTTTGCCCTCTGAATGAAGTCAACATGTGTCTAAGACCGAAATACTTCCCTTTTTCTTTATGTCGGGACTCTTTCATTGCATTTCCTCCTATCCTTTGGGTTCTGCAAAACTAATATGCATATGACACTATATGTAAGCATGGCATGCAGACGCAAACAACCAGTTGAAACTCGTGTCACATAAAAGGGCGTTTCTGCGTAATTTTTATTCATGGGAAGTGTCTTTTTCACAAAATCAGCGTTTATTCCACTACCATGCGTTTCAGTCAAATTTATGAAATTCAATCTTTTTTTTCAAACGGGTTTTCAAGGAAGCACTTGTCATGGTTTGAAAACTCATCACAAGTAGGAGTTTGCATGCCAATGTTCAACACATAAATATTTGGTTGATTTCAAACATCGATAAGAAGTTTAGAGAAATGCGAATGTAGATCATCAAATGTACTTTCCAAATCATTCTTGAAAATATTGATCCAGACGGGTTACTCGGGTGTTATCAAATTCACTAGACCTAAGCGAACAACAAAGACGAGGGAACCTGATAGTCCCCATGTCGACTAGGAGGGCGTTGCCTCTCAGGCACCATGCCCCATTTATCATATGCAAAGCAGGACAGAGAACGTGTTATTTCTGCAATCAGTTGGGTGTCATCGAGGAACGATATACACCATTTATGATGAATCTAATGTCTTCGTTTCGTCGCGTTTTCTTGGTGGGGAGGAGAGAGAGATTTGCCTCTACGGACAATTGTACTCAACGATGAATCGGGTGTCTTTGACATTTTTTGCCCCGTCGTGCTTGCTTGACGAATTTATGTTTTATCTGAATACATCCTCTATATAAGTAAAGGGCATGTCATTTTCTTCGCTAAGGAGAATTAAATTTAGGAACGAAATACATCACTTTTTCACCAAATTGAACTATTCCGTCCTCCATCATATATGCTTTGGTGGTGGGAGGAGGGACATTGCCCCTACAATTTGATGTACTCCATGTCAAAAGACTTCGACATATGTTGCTCCGTCATGTCAGTTTGGCAAATCTTTGTTCTATCGGAATCCTTCCTATTCAAAAAGAAAGGATATGTCGTTTCTGCACCAAGCTGAATTAAGCTTAAGATCGAAAAACGTCCTTTTTCTTTAAATCCGATGATCTGGCACTTCGTGCCTCCCGGTCTGTTCCACAACTGTCTATCTTAATCAAGTATTTCCTACACATAACGAAGAAACATGTCATTTGTTCGTATAGAATTAGACCGAAATTAGGAACGAAGTACCCCTTTTTCGTGTTTCGTTATGTTTCGATTGGAAGGTCTCAACATTTGGAGCTCTATCACGTTTGCCCGACGAACCTTTAATCCGTCTCCATTACTCCTACACATAGGAAAAGATGTATCATTTCCATATTAAGGTGAATTAAAGTTAGGAACAAAATACACCCTTATCAAAAATCGGGTGATTGTTCGCTGTTTCCGTTTGTTGCAGTGATGCCCCACTTCATTGTTTGGGAGTCAGCTGCTTTATTTGAATCCTTCTTTAGTCATCTACACGTAAGGAAGTGATATGTTATTTCCGTACTGAATCAAGTTGAGTTAGGGAACATGGTACACCCTTTCCAAGGTTGGATTGCCCTCTGTTTACTTTATCTTATTGACACTCTTCCCCGCTTTATTGCCTTTTCAAAAGAAGGAATAGTGCTAGACGTATTATCAAAGAGGATCAAGATTGAGAATGAGTACTACCTTTTCATCCAAACGTGAGCATGCTCATCTTGTGACCAACTTGATCCGCCACCGGACCGCGTTGCTACACCACCATGTCAACTTTCACTCCATGTCTCTTCCACCAGATCAAGTTGGTCGCGAGATTCCTACCAATTATTGAAATTGCGCGGCAGAAGCTCGAGAGTCCAAGTCCGAGCTCATCAATATATTCATTTGTATCTACATTCACTCAAAATTTAAGTTAATGAGTTATGAGTAAATTATGATATATTAACTGCTCCACATCACACCAATGTTCTAATTTTGGAACTTTTTAACTCAAGTCACATGTACATCTCAACAGACCGAGGTAGCTCCTACTAATAGCAAATTATATAATGCTCAAAGACAAAGTAATAGTCCAACCAAATCACACAATTTTGGTTTGCCATATGAGAAGCAAAGAAACGCTAACTTTGCCATTTGCTTCGACCGCAGCCAAAACATCATTGTCCAAGGAAACCACCTCGTTGCTTCCCGTGCATACACAACGAACAATGACTTCCATTAATTCTCATTATATTTTCCATCATCTTCGTAACCCAACCATCACTATTACACGACAAAAGCAATGGATTGATGTATTCGAAGGTTGTTTCTTGAAGAAGGAAAAATTAGTTAAGAGCGACCATGCCGCTGAGAGTTCTCTCTAGACTCGACACCGCAAGGACACAGTACTACCACTTCAAGGCCATCACTGTGGCAGGTAATCAACTTGTGTATTTTACATCACCATCCCGACAATTGACACACACAACATGGGTTGTATTCTTTCATTAATCCGTTTTAAACAGTTAATTCTGTGTATTATACATTCGATTATCTCGCTTACGGGAAATGGATCGCGTTCGGTTTCCCCCGATATGACTCCAAATTTCTGTATCTTGTGCTTGATAAAGGAATGGGGTTATTCACTGATGCATACGATCTCTTCTGTATCCCGCCGATCATGAAACTGATCGGGCACATATACTACAAGTCTCACAACAACCGAATCCGGCCTGCCGTCGAATCATCCATGCTGGCCGCCACTCTCCTCGGCACCGTGATTGGTCAACTCATCTTCGGCAGGCTCGGTGATCGTGTAGGGAGGAGGGGCGTGTATGGCGTCGCCTTGATGCTCATGATGGTCGGCTCCATTGGGTGTGGATTCTCGATGGGCACGACACCAGGCTGTGTCCTAGCGAGTCTAGGGTTTTTCAGGTGATCGTAGCTGATCGTAGTGCTACAACCCGCCCCACATCCATTGTAAATAATTAGTCTCTATTCAATTTTTCTTAGTACTCATAACATGCAAACAGCACTCTTTTATTCTTTTCAGGTTCTTGCTCGGGGTAGGGATCGGTGGGGATTACCCGCTCTCGGCGACAATCATGTCGGAGTATGCTAACAAGAGGACTCGCGGCGCATTCATAGCGGCTGTCTTCTCGATGCAAGGGTTTGGGATTCTGGTGAGCTCGGTCGTGACGATGGCGGTGTGCAAGATATTTGGCCGAATTTACCCTTCGTCGCCGAAAGATCCGCCACCAAAGGAAGCTGATATTGCCTGGAGGTTGATATTGATGCTGGGTGCTGTTCCTGCCGTGATAACATATCACTGGCGGATGATGATGCCTGAAACTGCAAGGTACGTACGCACCTTGCTTTGCTTAATATATTTTTAAATTGATTAATTAAGTGAATGCTTCATTTTCTTGAAATTTTTTATTTTTGATCTATGGTATATATTACTATGATCAAGCATGTCTCTCCTCAGTCCTTCTAGAAATTCTTAGGGTTTGCTGGGTGCTCTGAATAGGATGACAGAAATGACAAAACCGAAGTTTGGTGAGCTGTGTCAACTCGTCATTTCATAAATTTAAAATTTTGTTGAACATGCTATAAAAGGTGGTACATTTAAACTTGTCTCATTTCCCGTCCCTTTCGAAAATTTGCTAGTTTCAGCTTCTATAAACGAATCAAAATCGTGCCATAATCTGTCCTTCCCTTGAGAAAACACTCGCACAAAATGAATTTCGTGAATCATGTGCATCATTCATCACGACGCATCTTTCGGATCTAATTAGGTACACCGCTTTGGTGGAGCAAAATGTGCTCCAAGCTGCCAGGGACATGGAGCGAGTCCTAGACGTGCCCTTGAGCCAAATAGCCGAGGACCAATCCTTCCGCCCAAGCCTGCCGCCCTACCCTCTCTTCTCCAGGCAGTTCTTCCTCCGCCACGGTCGCGACCTCCTTGCCTGCTCTGCCACGTGGTTCCTCCTTGACATCGTCTTCTACAGCAGCAACCTCTTCCAATCCAAGATCTACCACAAGTACCTGCACGACGAAGACACCGGCGAGGCAGTAACCGCCTTCGAGGCCGCCTTCAAGGTCGCACGCCTCCAGGCCATTGTGGCGTGCTACTCCACAATCCCCGGCTACTTCGCCGCCGTCTTCCTCATCGACCGTGTTGGGCGGGTCAAAATCCAAGCAGTTGGGTTCGTCCTCATGGCCATCGTTTACTTCTCAATCGGAGTGCCGTACAACAAATATTGGAAGGGCCACACCGATAAGCTGTTCATGTTCCTGTACGGCCTGACCTTCTTCTTCGCCAACTGCGGGCCCAACACGACCACGTTCATTGTGCCGGCCGAGCTGTTCCCTGCGCGGTTCAGGACGACATGCCACGGTATTGCTGGGGCCGTGGGTAAGGTTGGGGCGATGATTGGCGCCGTGGGGTTTTTGAAAGCCTCGCATGCGTTGGGCATCGAAGTTACGTTGATCATATTGGGTGGAATTTGCGTGGTGGGGATGGCGTTAACCATGTTGTTCGCAAAGGAAACTATGGGGAGATCGCTTGAGGAGAATGAGAATGAGTCTGTTCAAGGCCAGACTCATTCTCATTCTCATTCTCCTCATAGTTATCAATGAGAATTACATATCAATGAGAATGAGAATTAGCTATTAAGATCGCTTGAGGAGATCGCTTTCCATAGTCCTTAATTAAATAACACGTATTAATATCTAATTGATATGTATTATGAAATTTTTCAGGATAAAAACATCACAAGTGTCACAATTTTCGTACGGTGCTCACTTAAGTATCATAACTTTTTTTCTCGATCACTTAAGTGCCATAATTTTTTAAAAACGTTCGCTTGAGTTCCATCATTCTGAATTGAAAGGTTTAAACTGAATTGACATAAGTGTAATATGTTTATGACTTTTTTGGTAATTTTCCCAACTACTACAACATCTTACGAATGCCAATATGCCAATGTCTACACTCTTACTAAACAAAACAAAATCTTATGAAACAGTGTGAGTTTGACTTGATTCTGATTGACAAGCGTTTGATATTTTAATTTGCCTTTGGGACAATGACACAAATAGTCCATTAACTTTGCCCCAACGTGCAATGTGGTCCCTGAACTTTTAATTTGTTCAATATGGTCCCTCGACTTTTGGTGCATGTTCAAATTAGTCCCCGAACTATATGCAAATTTCAATGTCATCATTCCATTAATTCAAGTTCGGGGACAATATCAAATATTTCCATATAGTCCAGGAACTAGATTGAATATGTATCAAAAGTTCAGGGATCATATTGAACAAATTGAAAGTTCAGGGACTACATTGAACATTGGGCTAAAGTTTATGGATCACATTGAACAAATTAAAAGTCCAGAGACCACATTGTACATTGGGCCAAAATTCAAAGATCATTTGTGTTATTTTTCCTTTGCCCTTTTTGTTTTCTTCTGTTGTCAATTCATCGCTCGCCGCTGTGGTATAAAATATTCCTAACCCATCACCAACTGTCACAAACCGAATTTTTCATGAACATAATTAGTAAACATTCCCTGTCAGGGAAACAGTTGGCATGATGTACTTGGGCATCTTTTTCAACAATTGTTGCATAAAGTAAAGGTGGTACTGTTCGCTCGTTTTGAGACGAGGGATATCTTTCACCGAAACTTTGATTTTCGATTTTTATTAAGATAGGTTATGTGGCTAGATGTCTAGGAGAGTTGTGGCAAAGAAGGAAACAAAGTGGGCACAAGGTTATATGGGACGGATATAATTCGAATGGATTGAAAATGGATCTGAGATTAATAGAGTTCCAAGCTAAGTTACAATACTCCTATGAAAGCTATAAAGAACTTGAAGGCTAACTAATGTTGCAGAAAGCTGTAAATGCAAGAAGTAAAGGTACAGAAGAAACTAAAGTGCAGATAGTCTTGAGTGTTTTTGCATTGTTGTTGGTGTTTCCCTTCCTTCTTTCTTCTAAATATTTGTATCTCCTCATATCCTGCAACTGCTTGTCGGTTACTTCTATGTTTTCAAACTTTGAATTTTGGCACTTCCAATAACTGCATTTTCTAACCACGTTTTTCCAGTTTTATTGTCCGCCAAAACTTGATCTCAACCGCTGGGACGACTTTAAATTTGGACAAGTAACTCCCCACAATATGCTCGTGCTCACTATTTTTGCTTTTTACTCATAACTTCCTGCTATCGTGATTTTCGTGGCTGGGCTGTGATTCATCTTTACCGATTCTCTATAATTTCGGTATATTCCCAAAGTGTAAACTTCCCGAATTTCGGAAAGAGTCAACGTCCCGAGGCATAAACGTTCCAACGCTCTTTATATTCCCGAACTATGACTTTCCATGTTTCGGTAAACATACCGATATTCATCAACTACCGAATTCGGGATATGATGCCATTCACGCTTGCTTCCCAGCGTGTTTCCGAATCTTATCCAAACGTATTTCGGAAGATGGTTGATTTCCATTATACATCAGATTCGGCATTGAAGCCGACTCAGCGTCTATGCCGATTCTTATTTTGGTGTCAACAGATGCCCCCTTTTAAAAGGATTAAAAGAACTTTTAATTCTTTTAAATGCCAGAAAAAAGGTACTTACGTTTTACTCTTGCTGTCGCTTCGTCATCTCGCTTCGCGCGCTTGCCCTTTCGTCTTCAAAACATTTCTTCTAAAAATCGTTCATTTCTTCTTTCTTTTGCATTCTTAACTTTTCGACTCTCTGCAACTCTTCAACCCTTTGCACTCTCTCTCAATATTTGTCTAAACCTAATGGCTTCCAAAGCTTCCAAGGATCAAGCTTTTTCCTTTTCCGCATCAGACGCCCTTGATCGGTACCATTTATTCCGAGATTCCGAGGATTTCAACAAAGAATTTCATCTGCTCTCTGTGGAGAATGACTACGAAGATTCTTACATCCTTGGCCTAGCAGTTCACAATCATTTCTCTATTCCAAAATGTCTATCAAGCCACTTCCCACGTCACCAATTTGAGGTACTTTCAGTCCATGAATCATCTATCTTGGCGTATCAGTGGCATTCTCGTCCCCCTCGCCTTAGGACTTTTTTCGACTTTGAGCCTGATTTCTACCAATGGTACCTTCGACTCCTTCCTTCTAAGGGTCCTCTTTGGGATACTCTTTTAATTCATAATGCTTTGCGTCTTAGCTGTTTCGATTACCATTTGAATCACGAACTGATCAGCGCATTGTCTTGCTTTTGGTCAACTTCCACTAACTGCTTCTTTTTCCCTTTCTCTCCTATGTCGGTAACTTTGCTTGATGTATATTGCCTTACTGGGCTCTCTCCTTTAGGTACAGACCGATCTACCCTGTCTCTCGATTCTCGTTCACTGCTTGGTAAACTGTCTGATTCTGAAATGGCCTATGGGGCATTCATTAAGAAATATTTTAAGAAGGAAAGTATAGTTACCGACGAGGAACACACTGCTTTTCTTTTGTACTGGCTCTGTAAATTCCTTTTCTGCCACCCCATAGTTAGGGTCTCGAATGATTTTGTCGTTGTTGCCTCTGCTTTAGCTTCAGGGACCTCACTTGCTCTAGGCAAAACAATGTTAGCCTTGCTATATCGGGGTTTAGCCCATGCTTCCTCCTCCATTGCTTCAGACGAAGTTAATGGAGTTTTTGGTGGTCCTCTTTGGCTTCTTCAAGCATGGGTAGCTTTCTATTTCCCTGCTTGGTTTTCCATGGATCAAGTCCTCCAACCCCTTTCAGTTTCTATTCCTGACCAACCAGTCTGCCAGACCTTGAGTAGGAAATTGATCCCTGTTTCCAAAGAACCATCTTCTTATTTTCGGTACTTTATTTCTCGAATCTATTCTGTTGAAGAAAACCCATATTCCTTCTCTCCTTTATTTGTTCCTCAATTCAAGTCCTACCTTCCTGCTTTCCAGAAAAATAAAAGTGACTTCTGGCAGACTGTCCTGACCTCTGTTGATCTCCCTGTGAGATTTTCAACAAAAGGCAGATTCGTTGCTGGCTTTGAAATTTACTCTCCCCAGTACTGTGCCAGACAACTTGGGCTGATTGAAGGGGTTCCTATTCCAGCCCTTTATACCTTCTCCTTTGCTTCTTTCGATAAAATATCCTGCAAGCTGAAAGATGATCAACCTTTTACTGAGCTGACCACACTGGTACGGGGTATTTACCGATTGTCGCGTGTTGCCGAATTTACTAGATACCCGGACCGTTCTTCAGCTGATTTCGACCTCTGGTGGGATGGTTATCGAAAGACTGTGTTTTCAGATCCTCTAGATCAGATTCTTTTGAAGATAAGTGATGCTGTTCCTCTTACAGTGCCAAAAGCAATTGAAGCTGCAAATGTCCCTTCAACTAAACTAACAGAGCCTTCTAAAGGTAACTTGATTCTACCTTTCAATATATATATGCATATATATATTTTGTTTGATGCTCAATCTTCAATCTGACTTTTTATTCTTATAGTGAGCAAGAAAAGGAAAGCTTCAGACCACCCGCCTGGGTGGCGCTGCTGGAGCGCGCACTCTTCCTCTCGCAAAAGGTTGAGTGTTCGAATCCCGGGTGCCGCAAGGTGACTTAACCGGTGCACGTGTGTGGTGGCTAGCACGTGTCGCCCCCAGGGTTTACCTCCCGGCTGTCGGCCGTGCGGGGGTTCCCTGGGTCATCAAAAAAAAAAGGAAAGCTTCAGACTCATCTGCTCCAGAAAAAGTACCAGCAAAACGTAGTGTTAGGAGAGTGATTATTCGATCTTCAGAATCATCCCCAGATAGTTCTCCAGCAGTGAATCAATCTCCAGAGCCCACACTTAGAGCTATGATAAAGCCTCGCACTCTGAAAGGTAACTCTCATGCTTTACTTTTGGAGGTTACTAATGTATATATCAGCCCTAACTTGTTTATCTTCTGATTAATCCAGGAACTCTTAAGACCTATTAGTCCAGTGATGTTTCTCCTGTTTCTCTTCCTAGCAAGGCTCCTACCACATCAGCTTCCAATCCTTTACCAGTGATTTTTACTCCTTTGTCAGATGTTAATGCTGAGTTGGTTCAAGAACAACCTTCTATTCCAAATCCTAAAGAGAGCATACCATCAAAGGATACTTCTGCCTATGTTGTAGGATCTGAAAAAGATCTTCCTCCAGCTCTCATCGGTAAATGTTATTACCCTTTGTTTGACTCAAGGTTTTTATGCTGTAGTCTAATATACATATGTCAATATTTGCAGTTACTGATGAACCCACTTCTGTGCCTCAAGAGACTCCAATTCCCGAAGGAGCATCAAGTGTGCCATTACTACCTGCTTCTTATGCAGTTACTGTTTTGCCTCCTTCAACATCTTATGCTGCACCCAGTCCACCTGCCGAGATAGAAATTTTTTCTCAGGCTGAACAGGCAGAAATGGAGAGGATATTAGCAGGTACTCATCCTAGCTCTTCCACAGCTCCTGATTCTTCAGAGTCCCAAGATTTATCAATGTCTGCCGAAATTTCCAAAGAGGTAGCCAAAGCTAAATGGGAACAGCTCCTTAACTTATTGGAACCTGGCTATGGGAAATTGATCAATGACTCTGATAAGGAGTGCCAAGCGAGGATTCTCTTCCAGGAAGTA